TTTATATACCACCTATTTAAATACACCATTTACTTGGACTACATTCTAGGGTTGCAAGCGTCACGAGGTCGTGACCATAGCATCGTGACAGCATCACAATTCCACATTATTCTGGTAAAAAGATAATTAAGTACACGAAAACGACTCACGGCTATAAAAAAGTTATTCGTTTTGCAGAAAATTAAAACACCAATTTGCATTCTGGAGCATTTGAATGGAAATGCTCGTTCTAATTTAAACTCAAGTACGTATTTGAAGCATTTAAGTCTAAATAGGTTGGAATAGTACCTAGCTACCTTGTTAATCCATCTATGTTGGTTTAGGTACTTGTACTTAACAATTCAGATAGATACCTACCTAATTAATATACTTTTAATACGTATTGTTCAATCAGTATCTGAAGCGCAGTTTCACCAACTACTCAGTTCCCATTGATCGTAGCGTCATGTTTTTTGAAACACCTTCCCAACTGTTGATCTTTATTTACCTGGGTACTATACTTCCGCGCAGTTTTACCCGCTCTGCTCGCCTCCTAATGGTCCTGGCGTTATGTTTTTAGCCCATAACTTTCCTCGATGAATGCACTATCCAAAACAATAAGAATTATTCAAATCGAACAGGTAGTTCTAGAGATTCCTTCAAACAACCAAACTCTTCAGTTTCAGCTCTTATACATAGTATATAGTATAGTATACTCTTCTCTTACAAAATAAGATTACATAGCACCTACAGTAGGTCCTTATAGCACCGATTGTAAAATGATCAGTACCATCTTTTTTGTGAAGTTCGGTAATTAGGTAAGACGTCGATGGTGAATATGACCCTTAACTGCAAATTTAAATCTTCCCTGGACTTCCACCAACATTTCAAGACAAAGATTAGCCAAATCGGTCTAGCCGTTTTTGAGTTTAGCGAGACTAACGAATGAAAATTCATTTTTATTTATATAGATAGGCAATGACGTTGAAATGTTATCTATACTTATAATAAATCTGTAGAGAGGTCAATTCTGTACATAAAATATATTTAAAAAATAACTATCAAGGGATGGTTAGGGATCGCTACTGATGCCAAAAATGCAATCAGTAAAATTTTTGTCTGTCTGTCTGTCTGTCTGTATGTTCGTTATGGAAACAAAAACTACTCGATGGATTTTAACGAAATTTGGCACAATTATTCTTCATACTCTTGGGCAGGTTATAGTATAGGTTATAGATCAATAGGAGCAGAGCAATGAAGGGAAATATTGGGAAAACGGGAGAAGTTACTCCATTTTTTAAGCTTCCGTCGCGTGTGCAGGCTTATAGGTTAAAGCTGCATAGAAATCATGTATGACGGAAATATTCTCCTTAAAATTATATTAATTCTAAAAATTATATATATATATATATATAGGTAGATTATGGTCTGAAGTGATACATAGGCATTTTACCCCTGGGATCGCGGGCGAAGCCGCTGGCAGAAGCTAGTCATGAATAAACTACCTAAGTACTTTCTAACTGTTACTGTTCTTACTGTAAATTATGCAGAGTCCTAATACACAATCGTAATAACAAAGAAGTGCAATAAATTAAAATGTGGCGTGGGATTAATATACTAATATATATTTAATTATTTAGTAAAAATATATTTTATCTTATCAAGCGCACATTTTCTTCGTGAACCGAATCATATTAAAATGACATTTTGTGACAAAACTATTTAGTGTTGCCAAAACAAATAAAACTTAAATTATTTGTGCTCCAGCAATGATACAATTTATTGTATAATTATAATTAATAATATTACATTTTTAAGGTGATAAAAGACTTTTGAAATATATCCTAGTATTTTCATTAAATTAACATGCAGAATTTCAGTAAAAATTATAATAAACACTTTTATAAAGTGGCAACACTACATTGAAGCATGGACGGATAAATATCGCAGCGCTGAGCGCAGTAGTTGTGGTTATATTGTAGGTAGTTATATATATAATTGCCTGGCATGGACGTCGTGTCTGCTGAAATGTTCAAAATAGATCGATAATATTTTTCTGCAAAACCGTTGTGAATATATGAGTGAACTTCCTCATTTAGTTCGCTAGTCAACTGAAAACCTTATTTGTTAATTTCGATTTCATTCCGTTGACATTAAGGATTTTTGTGATTCGTGTTAGACTCGAGGCTGTGAAAAAATATTGTGAAAGTGACCGTAATATGACCAGAAGATGAAGTGCCACTACGAAGTATTGTGTGTATCAAAGGAAGCATCTGCGTCCGAAATCAAGAAAGCCTATCGGCGGCTTGCGCTGCAATGGCACCCTGACAAGAATTTAGAAAATTTGGTTGAAGCAAAAGAGCAATTTCAGCTCGTGCAGAATGCATATGAAGTACTTTCTGACCCTCAAGAGAGAGCCTGGTAAGTGGTACAGCTTTTTTTCAAAAACATTTGCAATGTAATGAAGTGTTTGTGGATGCATTGATTTCTCAACAACTGCAATCAATATTTACCATCAGTTTATTTCAATTCTAGGTATGACAATCACAGAGAGCAGCTATTGCGTGGAGCTGGCAGTTCTTACAATGACGACAGTCTAGATGTCTACCCTTACTTCAGTCCGTCCTGTTATAAAGGTTTTGGAGATGATGCACAAGGGTTCTATGGAGTATATAATGAGGTAGATATATAAAAAAAGTTACAATTATTGCACAAGTTTACAAAACCTACTTAGATCAAATTTTAACAAACTTGTGATTAATTTTCCAGGTATTCTCCAAATTGATAACAGAAGAAACAGATTTCCTAGATGATCCTGAAGATGTATCAAAAATCCCCACATTTGGAAACTCCACCACACCATATGAACAAGTACATGAGTTCTATGCTTATTGGATGGCATTCTCAACTAACAAAAGTAAATATTTACACATAAATATACTAAGAAAAAATCTAGTTTCAAGTTACATTATTTTAGTTAATTCAGTATGTCTCACAATAGTTATTATAAAAACATTCTTATTCATTCTTGACAATTCTTATTAGATTCATGTGAAATCAAATAGGTACTTAGTTTTTCTAAAAAAATTTTCAGGTTATGTGTGGCTGGACCAGTATGAAATTTCACAGGGAGACAATAGGAGAGTTATAAAACTTATGGAGAAAGAAAACAATAAAATAAGGCAAAAAGCTCGCAAAGAAAGAAATGAAGAGATCAGAAGACTTGTAAGCTTCGTCCGCAGGAAGGATAAAAGAGTTATAGAGCATACAAAACTGTTACAGGAAAAAGCAGAGGAAAATAAAAGAAAGGTATGTTCTGTTCTATCAATTTCTTGTAGGAAAATCATACATAGATTTATTTATAAAAAATACTACATATATTATTGATATTTTTGTAAATACATACCACATGGCATGAAAAATGCTACATCCTAATAGAAATGCACTTAGCACATGTTAATATTGTGAAGACCATATCCATGTGATGAGGTGTGTTATTCTAATAACTATTTACTTGAAAGATAGTGAAATGTATTCTCATACACTTCCCATTTAAATTGATGATCATATTTAATCAGTTTACAATAAGAATAAACTTTATCAATGTCTTAAATATTTTTTTCTAATTATCACAGGCTGAACAAGTGAGAAGAGAAAGAATAATTCAGAGGCAGAAGGAAATAGAAGAAGCTAAGAAGAAAGAAGGTGAAAGCTCTTTCTTACAGAGCCAAGACTATCAGAAGAAGTTGAGTGAGATTGAGTCACTTTTAGCAGAAGAATTTGGTCTTTCTTCTGACGATGATGACACTATCAGCGAAGGGGGCATGGAGAGTAGTAATGAAGAAAGTTCTAAGACTGAAGAGGTATGTAACGTTATCCTACCTTTAACTGACTTCTACCAGTGGCTTCACCGCATTCCCATGTGATAAAAAGTAGTCTGTGTTTTTCCAGACCATAATGTACACATTCCAAATTTCATCCTTCCATCCATCAAGATTCCTTCAGCCATTTTGATGTGAAAGTGTAACCAACAATCATACAAACTTTTGCACTAACAATATTAGTTGGATGCCTATTGATGTATTATCAACATTTTAATAAATAGTATGTTTGATTATAATGTAGATAAAAATGTGTCCTTTATATTTAGATAATATGCTTGGTTGGGATGTACCTATTATAATGTTATTGACACACGGAAAAAAGATAATTTCATGATAGCCAATTGATGATGCAAATACTAACAATCAGACCACCATCAGACCAAAGAGAATACATTATTCTGATTAAACATCAACATTATAAAAACAAAATTACTAATGAACTTGAGTGCACTATCAATATTTCTATCCTTTGTTTTTGTTTTGGTCCTTATTCTAAATATCTTAAAATTCTAAATTTCAGGCGAGTGAAGCATCAAAGGCAACAGCTAAATCCTCAAAATCTAAATCAGCCATGAAAAATCTATACTGCTCGGCTTGCAACAAACTATTTAAAAACGTCAAATCATTTGAAAACCATGAGAAGAGTAAGAAACACAAAGAGAATGTAGCCAATATGACATTTGATGATGAATTAGAGATATCAGATGAGAATGAGAATGAAGATGATCTCGATGAACAGGAAATTGAGACTAAAGAAGTAGTAGATGATGATAAAGTAAATGGTGATGATAAGGTGGAGGGAGAAAATGTAGGAAACTCTACTTCAGATATTGAAGACAATGATGATAATGATCTGCGAGAGACCTTGAGTGATGATTCTGATAAAGTACAGGTTTGTATTGAAGTTTTCTTTTAAACAGGGTTTACTGTCAATACTTCAATAAGTAACGCAGGATAGAATAAGCTATTAGTTTAAAAACATGTGTTAATGTCTTTAACAAAATATTCAATGATAAGGTGCATAATCATTGATAAATCACATTTGTGAATGTCTTTTTGTAGCAAATCTCCTGTCTTACTTTGATTGCATGGAAAACAATTGAGGAAATATGCTTATTTTATTATTTTTTTTTTATATTTCAGGCTTTACCCAAGAGTCATAAAAAGAAGAAGAACAAAAAGAAGTTCATACCTATGCCAGAGAGTGAAGGCAATGACAGTCATGATGAGATGAGTTTTAATGAAATAGAAGGACCGTCACGCAGCAGAAAAGCAAAGAAATTCAATATGCTAAAGAGTCAAATACAAGCTAAGAAAGAAGCTAATCTGAAGAAAGGGTCCCAGTCACAAACTTCAACAGAAAATCTGTATGAAGTATCTAGTACAACTCCTACAGATGATGCCTTAGGTGAAGCAGCCTTACCAAAGGATAGGCCCGCTTTACCCAAGACACAGAGGAATATCAAACCAAAGAAAACAGTAGAACGAAAACCAGTTAGGACCAAAACGAGTGAGACAGAAGACTCAAGCACAGCATTAACACTCAGATGTGCAGTCTGTGAGACAGACTTCCCATCAAAGAATAAGCTGTTTGAACACTTAAAGAAGACAGGACACTCAGTACCTCTTCCTCAGACTAGCTTCACACCACAGACTAGGAAAGGTAAAAGAGCCAATAGGTAAACATGTGCAATTTAGATAGGATGGAAGTATTAACTAATCATTGAGAATCAATTGATTTTCTTTAAAATCTCGTTGTAAAAGTGACTTTATCAATCTATTTATTAAAAATTATGATCACTGTCAATAAAGATATGCCTAAATGATTTCTTACTTTTATTGTAGTGGACCCAAATGAAATATCCAGGTTAATTGCAATGTTTTGTATTTATAATGTTACAACACATAAACATATTTTTAGCAAAGCTACTTACAACCTAACATTATACTTAAAATCACATTCAAATAGACATACATACATAGACTAAAAATAAGTACACAAAACATGTAATACATTATGTCAAAACATGTTGTTTTACTAAAAAATCTGCTTATTTATATTATAGTACATAAATGTGTGTTCTACAGACATTGTAATTAACATTCAATAAATAATCATCTACATATTATGTGGTTAATTATGCATAAAATATTAGAAAAACACAACTACATGGAAAACAATGAATAAACAGTCAGAAACAGATCTAATGAACATTAACACATCAAGTATCTATTTCACATTAAAACAATACTATTCAAACTCCGGAATGTCAGAAAAACTGTAACCAGGATACTCCTTATATGCATAATATGCTATCCTTATGTGGTATGCTCCTGGCAGGAACATGATACAGCCTAAAACTATCATAGGCCACAGTCGGTCAGAATACTTAGTGTCTATGTGCCCAGTTACAATTAAACTGCCAGCAATAAGTAGAGCTGTACCCACAACAAACAGGAATGCTGCTAAAGAAATAGCTTTCCATGGTATTTTGGGCGGTGGAACCTCAAATTGTGCATCGGAGAAGCCGCTGTCGTCATTGGATACTAGGCGATATCCATCATGTTGACGTCCAAAGCGGAATCTGGACATCTTCAAGGTCTTTAGTTGTTCTGTACATAAAAAAGGTTACTATTAAAACATATATCTTATAGAACTTTTTCATACACTCACACTTCAACAAGTTGTATGTGATACGCCGCCAAATGATATGCCGACAAAATTATTCGAATTTTCTTGAGAAAATTAGTGTTGTAATTACATACATAAATAGCTTTTAACACCAATCAAAACGTCCAAGATGAAGTTATTACAAAGGGCACTACTTTACTATGATTAGTCAGATTTTTAGCTGAAGTCTCTTTTGTATTAATAACAACGTTATTTTACAAATAATTATTTATTGATAATAAATACCAATATCGACCATAATAACTGACAGTGACAGCAATCAGCAATCTGACATTAACCTAAAACGTCAATGTCGTTTTGAACCACAGACTGAGTAACCAACCGTTCTAACAGGGTATACTATTTATTTTTCATCAGACGTCACGTGGAATTCATAATTTTTTCGATCGAAATATCGAAATACAATAAAAGAATCTTGATTAAAATGTTTATATGCTGAAAATGTTTATTCATACCCTTGTGTCTCAGAATAAACAGCTTTACTCACCTTTAATTTGTTGCAGAAATAGTGTCATTTATTTTGAGGAATTTTTTGTCCTAACTAGGTAGATCCAATAATTTTGTTTATAAAGCTTTATAAATATGTAATAACAAGAAGTTAAGCAAGAAACAATGATCCATCCATCGTCGTACGGTTACCGCTACTCAATCTCCGCCTCCAATGGAACTCTCCGCCATCTGTAAATATAAGGATAAGGACATGTATTTAATTTAGGATTCAGGTACTTGACTCTGATTTTGTGACTACTGAACTATCAAGGGTTGGTATGTTTTTTGGATTCATTGACTACAAAATATGTGTGACATTAAGTTCGTCCCTAATTATTGAAAGGCCTTCTGTAAAATCGTTGCTTTAAAATTACAGAAGCAAAAAGTTCAATTTTATTAATTTGCCCACCCCAAAATTTAATTACCAAGAAATTATTATACAAAGCATTATACAAAGAAAAATGAATAAAGTCTGATGAGTCATGGGAAAAGTTTCGGGTGCGTCTCTTATGAGTAAGATACGATTATAGGTACTTGAGCTATAGGTAATTAGGTAGGTTAGAACTAAGTAATTAACCAGGTGCGTATCTAAATTAGGTTTATAGCCGATGTTAATTTGAATATTTTATTTTTGTGAAAACAGGCTGATGATGATGATGATGATGATGGCAATCAGCTCATTGCTCCTCCCCTTTTACGTAGGAAGGAAGTGGGACAGTGGGCCTAAAACCGTGACTCTTCCTACTTCTTTGAGTCTTCAACGAATTAACTAACGAATGTTTCAGAGTTTAGTCACTGGACATTGCACTGGCCTATTTCTATTAATCACGCTAGAACAAGACTAACTAAAACGAAAAAATATAAAACGTAACAACTTACTACGAAATTTGGCAACGCTCGAGAAACTTCCCAGACGTTTAATTTGCAAAATAAAATCATGACCAAAATGTCTAACCTATTTTCTTTTGAAATGAACTAAGTACCTAAATAATTTGAAATCGTAGTCATGACATTTTTTCAACGGAATTTAACAGTATGTATAAAAAATACGAACAATTTAGCAATTAATAAGGGCCTAGAAGAGACTTGATGCCGTACTCTGACTATTCTGAGACATTATTATAGTAACGCTTTTGTTCCGAAAACAATTTTAATGATTGTGAGTAAGGATGGTTAGGTATGTCCAGCAATAGAACTTTACAAACAGTAACTGTAATATGATATGATAGTACCTAACACTAACAGCCTTGTTCAATCAAAGCTTGAGCGGAGATCCTTTCACTTCAAACGAGTGACAAATTATCCACGCTTTGTTAACACATTCGCAACCCTCCTACGATTGCTGAGGCGTTTAATAGTAAATCTATGTTTAACTAGCTTCTAGCTTTAAGTTGCGACTTTACGTAAACATTTGTCATTAAATGTAGCCTATGTCAATCAATCATACGAGTCCCAATATTGAGTAGATAAAGAGATAAGTTAAGGTGGCACAGTGAGCTACGGAGAGGGCTATGCACGGAGTCTCTCTGAAGGATAGGATCCGTAAAGAGGTGATCCGACAGCCGCATTACCAAGGTGAAATGGCAGTGGGCCGGTCACATTTGTCGAAGAACCGATGACTGTTGAAGTAGACCTGTTCTAGAGTAGAGACCGCGTCTAGGCAAACTTAGTGTAGGGCGCCTTCCAGCTGATTGGAGTGACGGTATCCGCAAAGTGGCTGGTAGTGGTTGGATGCGTAGAGCTGAAGATCGAGTTCAGTGGCGCGCCATTGGAGAGGCCTATGTTTGGAAGGGGACGTGAACAGGCTGTTGCTGTTGATGTAAAGAGGTAACAAACAAATAATCGTACTTTCGCTTCAATCCTTACTAATATTATAAATTGGAAAGTGAGTTTGTTTGTTTGTTCCACTTTCACGCCGTAACTACTAAATCGATTGCTTTGAATTTTTGCTGACGTAAAGTTAGAAGTCTGGATTAAATAATAGAGTACCTACTTTTTATCCCGGAAAAATTTGATATTCCCGAGGGAAAACAAAAGTATTGGTATAGATGGCGCTGTGTTTATTGGTATACGTTACATAGGCTACTTTTTATCCTTTTGTGACGCCTGCGAAGCTGCGGGTAAAAACTAGTCATAATATAAGTTTAATAGTTAGCAGTCGACTGCTAAGTTACTGTCATGCAGTCCCTCTGATACTTACTTAACTTTAGTTTCGTGAATTCTCTATGTTTGCAAGTTTAACGTACTAAAGCAGGGTTTCCCAAACTATGGGTCGTGACCTATTGGTGAGCCATTAGCACATTTTAGTGGGCTTTATAGAATCACACTAACTAACCGTTCTGTATTCTACTATTCATATTGGTAATGGTTTAGTTTCAAAAAGTGGGCCTTGAGTTTGGTAACTTGATTTAGATAGGTTGAAAATCCAGCCAACTTTGGGAACCACTGTACTAAAGACTTGTATTCATGTAGGTACGTAAATATCTGCATTTTGATAGAAATTATTCCTCGACTCTTGATATGGTTTCAGGCCAACGAATCTAGTCTGACCTCTATCCGAAATGCCGAATGAATTTGGCACGACACCCAACCATAAAATATTGGTCTAAATTTTTCAATTCCTTATTCGATAATAATTTTCGGAATAGGGTGATAGCTGTGAAAAACTAAGGTATGATTTTTCCTACCTTCAATTACGTATTCAGCACGCCCAAGTGATTTCGTTCGGGCTCCAATTTCGCTAGTAGGTAGTAATGGAGAACTAATTTTCAGCCCACGTAGGTACTACCCACATTGATAGGAAAACTAATTTTCTCTGAATATCAATTAATTAACGAAATGTTATTTAATACCCGATTTTTGATAAATATCGCTATTAATGTAGCAGTGGCTACGCCGTAGTCATTAGGCTACGAGAATGGTTTAAATCTATACTTTGTGCTACGAAAAGTCACGTTTTATTAATTAAAGTGGCTACGAAAATTCGTAGCTGTTTGTTACCGCGATATTGACGTCCGTAGCAGACATTGCGTAACCTATGCAACGTAGTACAAAATCTGTTTTCGTTACATGAATTTTATATAACACATAACATCACACCTTTTAGCTCTCCAAAAATGCTAGCAGAGTGACGTAGCTTCAATAAAATTCCAATTTATTGTATTATGAATACCATGACATAGGAGGTAGTTAAGCCACTTCACTGCATGTACCTCTAGATATAGAAAATAAATTATTGACTTTTAGACTATTGTAAGCTTTATTGAAATCGGTCAACGTGGCAAGGGTTGGGGCGTTATGCACACATAAATGTCCTACAGTCGGTGGCGCTGTGTGTTGGGTTGTTCCGTTCCCAATAAAAAGATTGACGGACCAATTGCTGACACACACGTCATACTCGTGAACGGGTGCCTTCTGCTGGGTCAGGTCGGCTCTCTCATCTTGTTGGTGGGCTGATTTCGTAGAGCCATCGAAATAGATATAAATAGATAATACCTAATTATTACCCATGTAATTTATACTTTTAGTAATAATTATAGATGTGGTTAATTGTAGTGTGTAACTAGGTACCTTCTTTACTATATAAAAATTGATTAGACGTATTTTAATAAAAAAATTGTATGACAAAGGCTCGAAGGCTCCAAGAGTCAGTGTATTAATCTGTAACATTATTTTAAAAAAATCCACTTCACTGTACTCGGAGCACGCCTGATTCTTTCGTGATTTCAAAATAAGAAACAGACACGTATGTGTGCAATTAGCTTTCTAAAGGCACACACTATTCTTTTATGAACAGACAGCAGACAAAAATAAGTAAGAACGTACTATTTCTAATAAGGTCTGAATAACGAAAATAACACTCAAAACCCATGCCTAAGTCACGCACAGAATACTCAAAGGTCGGATTTATTATTATTGCACTGCACAATATGTTGAATATACAAACATAACGCAAAACGTGCTCAATCAGCGTGTTTCCACATTACAAACTTAATTTATTGCTATAAAATCGTTATTGGTCATTCTAAGTTAACAGAATAGACTGTAATTTGTTTTATAAAGTAAACCTTATTTATTTTTAATATATTTTTAAGTCTGTCTCGTTGGCCGACTGTCTCGTTGGCCGAGTGGTCGTAAGTGCGACTGCCGGGCAAGGGGTCTCGGGTTCGATTCCCGAGTCGGGCAAAGTATTACTGGGTTTTTAAATATTCTCAGTAGTAGCACGGAGTCTGGAATTGTGCCCGGTATATGGCAATAGGCTCACCCCCTATTACATGGGACTCATAACATAAATAGTGAAAAGTGGGTGTTACATTGTACAGTGGCATAATGTACACCTCTGCCTACCCCTTCGGGGATAAAAGGCGTGATGTTATGTTATGTTATGTTATGTTATATTTTTAAGTTTAAAGTGGACTATTGCAAGAAGAATCGCCCAGGCGGGAGCAGTCATTCGATGATTTTTCCCCCTTTAAAAAAAAATTGTAAGGAGAATACAATAGAGAGAATCATACATGTATGAAATGAAAAACCTTAAGCGAATTAATTTTCAATATTTTTTTTATAATCTGGCACAATTTGATGACGTCTTCATTCGAAGTTTGTTGAAGAAATTAGTTGATACTAGCCGCAAGCTAGAAAAACAATTTACTGAATAAATGTAGGTAATTACAACGAAATTATGGCAATTAAAGTTTAAATATTTTCCGATATACATATTTTAAAATTGTCAAACAACATTATTTATAAACACGCAATAAAGAGATAATTAATTATTATTATGTTCTCTACCCTGATATTCAGACACAAGTTACGACAGGGGTTGCTACATAGCTGGTTGGGGAATGCGTCACGCTTACGAAGGAGACTGCGGATTTGTGCAATGTCCTTGACCTGCACCACTAGCCGCAGCGAACACATACTCCAATGCTGGTAAAATACCCTCCAGTTGTGTTTGTGCTTTATATTTCCTGCTGTGAAGATCTTTAACTAGATCTAGATATAAACTAGTTCTTTAGGTCTACTC